GTGTGTGTGTGTGTGTGTGTGTGTGTGTGTGTGTCATTATTAAATGTATAACCTTGTTCCGACCTCGTTCCAGCGCCTCCTGCTGGGTCATCAGTGTCATGACTGAAGTGACGCTGCAGTCTTTTAATAACGAGTCGTTATCTCATCATCACTTGTCTGAGTGGAGGTGTGAGCTCTCACAGCGCCCCCTGTAGTTTGACAAAGTTGTCGTGGATCTACAGATGTTGAAACTTGTTCAGCAGCTCCAGTGATTGTTTACGTCCATGTTCTGCGACTGTGTTGTAAAATCTGTGTTTCGTCTCAGTGCTCGTACGTCCCTCCCTGTGAGAGGGACAACCAGAAGAACAGGGACAGCGTTCTGTGGTGGGAGGATTATTTCACCAAGGAGGTCAGCAGCCAATCCTTCACCTGCTTCTTCAACCAGCAGAGGAGGTGAGATGCACTCTCGCCTTCACACGTCTGTCTGAAGCTGCGTGTAGATTAGAAACAGGAGCGCGTGTGACGCTGTGAAGACGAAGATCATTGTTACCTCAGGAGATTACAGACGCTGCGGCGGCCGGCAGAGTTACCGAGGCGTGTTTTTGACAGAGCGTTTTCCACTTCGCAATTTACTGCCGGCGACCTTTGACCTCGATTTTTAAAGGCTGATTTTTCACAGGAGAGTTGTTTCTCCTGCAGACGTCGTAAACAGAGCCGGAGTCTTCAGTCCCACTGGTGCATGCTCTTCTACAGCTCCACTCTGATTGGGCGGAGGATCGCCGGTGTAACCACAGAGGCTTTCAGACATGAACTCTGCAAAATGTGTGGAAGATTGAGTCCAGACATTTTCTGGAGTTTGTCTTTCACATATGAAGCAGCAGGAGATTTTCTGGGTCAGACTCGTTCAATACAACTGGAAAACATCCAGAGCAACTGAATCAGACGTTCTTGTAATTTGTGGAAACTGTAAGATTTAACTTATTTACAGAACGTTTACGCGGAGGAAGCTCCGAGGTTCTCGAGAAGATACGATTAAATATAATAATAATAATGATAAATACTCTATGTTTGTATGAAGTCTTCTTGTTCGGTGAATGTTTAACTCATGTCGTCATCTCTGAAATGAAAAGTTCATCCCAACACAGAAGAAAAATGTGTTGCAGACATTTTAAAATAAAAATGGTAGAATCGACTATTTTACAGTTGCTCAACGTTCTCGTTGAGCTTTTTATTCAGGTTACTGCTCTGAGTGAAAATTGATGAGATGGAGAAAAACAGATTTCCTTTCAGGTATCAGCTTAATCTTCCTATTATTCAGAGGCGATGCTCAACTGTGACCTTGTCTGGTTTTATTTTTATCTCTGCACCAAGGATCAGGACGAGGGACGAGAGAGACGCTGCAGACGAGATCGTCTTTGGTTTATTAAAATAGAAAGTTGAATGTTCAGAAGGATTTTTTAAAGTTAAAGCTGGTTTTGTTCTGGAGGTGAAGAGACGCTTTAATCCCCAAAGTTTAAGTGCACTTGTGTAAATAAAGCATTTACTTAATGAGCATCAATAAGACCTTGTTCTCTGTGTTTTCAGGCCCGACGACGTGTTGTGGCGTCGTTCCCACGACGCCAGCGTCCTGCTGCACTGCGTCCTCTGGCCCATGGTGTCGCTGCTGCTGGGGACGCTCATCGTGCTTCTGACCGTGTGCGCTCGTTCCCTCGCCGTCCGAGCCGAGGCCCTCCAGAAGAGGAAATGCTCTTACGAGGTTTGCCAGGACCTCTCTGTCGCACCCTCAGATCGCCGCGGCACCAAGGCCGGAGACCCCCTCTCGACAAACTCTGACGCTGAGCTGTCCTCGCCATCAAGGACCCTGCCGCTGTTTGCGGTGCCAGTGCGACGGCGCGACCGAGAACATTAAGACGGAACGGAAAGTTGTTTTGACGTCATCAAGTCTTTTCTCTAAAGATGCTGATGAGCCGTTGGGCGAAGTCAACGCCACCGTCAACCCGCTGCTGTCTAGTGCGGTTTGTATAACCAGAAAACACGAGGTGAACGCTGGAGGGGTCGTTTCACCCTGTTGCCTGTAGATGTCAGCAGAATCACTTTAGAGAATCATCTTTGTTTCTGATTTTAACGAACTCGATCTGAGAGAAATCCGGACGCCGCTGAGCTGAATCCTCCGATTTGAACCAACAATTCTTCTGTTGTAGCTTCATCACGAATGATTATTGACATAAGTTCACGAGTCAGATTCGAATATAAGCTCACATGTAGCCCTCTGTTCATCCCGTTTACCCAGCAGCCACACGAGAGTTTGAAAAGAGCCGAAGTCTGTAACTTCAGCTTGTGTCTTCATGCAGGTTTGATTAATGTGTCTGAAGACATGTTGGACCCGTGTCTGTCTCCTCGAGCACTTTGATAGAACGTCTAAACTTTTCACCACTGAAACAAAAACTACAGATTAACTGAAGCACCGCACGTCCTGTTGCTTTCTTCTGTTTCCATGACAACCACCAACATCCTCTCCTAAGTTTCTTCTTCATAACTTTTCAACTTCAGTCTCTACGGTTTAACGTCGCTGATAGAGTTGTTGTTTACAGACTCATTCCACTAGAGGGCAGAAGAGATCCCAATCGTTCCTTGTTAAAAATCAAGTGAACACGTCTCGTTGCTACGTTCGAGGACTTTATGAACAAAGCAAACAAATCATCTACATATTATA